AAAACTGAAAGTTGACACTGGCGAACGTAGCAAAATGTGGCATGTCGTACGTGTGTAAGACTGAGACAACACATGCAGGTACCACGTCCTCTTAAATATAAGACGTATACCCTTCCAGCCTTACATAGGCGTGTCTACGGTGGCAGCCTAGGGTGCCTGGACTACCCCCGCAATTTTTGAAAGGTGCCGGTCAACCGAGTTTTAAGTCAGAAGGGTTACAACATTTCTTTTTTTTTAAAACTTGATTTTTTTGTGGGTATCGTTATAATTACCATTTACTTACAAAGATTGATTTCCTGACTTCCGAAATCGGAAAAACCTACTATATAAAGACTTGAGACAGACGACGACGGTACAGTACACATCTAGGTATTATTGATATTATCGTTCTATTGTTTTTTGATTTGTAGCTATAAAGGGGGTGTAATCGAAGACTGTAGATGAATAATATTTCTGAAGTTACTGTAGATTATAAGTGTAAATAGATGATTTAGACTTTTTTAAATTATATAAATATTTCATTGTAGAGGGGGACTTAAAAAAATACTGTGTAGGTATAGGGCTTTTTTCAGTTTACTAATAAGGTAGAACAGGTGATTAGCTAGACCTGCCGATGAAGTCTAGTGACACCTATGCGGCCTTACACAGTTACACAAGTACATGAATAATAATCCTAGCCAAAGATTATAATCTCGTAGAATGTATATGATATGTCTTGGAAGCTAGCACAAAAGTTAATAAAGAAAAACTTTAACATTAACTTTTCAAGGACTGAATAAATGGACTGATGAATGGAGACTAAATAACTCTGACAATGATAACTTCAACGTAAAGAGTAACGTGATTATTCGACTACCTCGGAAGGACTCAAGGAATGGATGGATGACCCTAAATAGATGGTCATTCACATTGTGGAAGAATGTCCAGTACATAACAAACAATAAAATATTTAAAAAAAACCCGCAAATAGTAAACTTATTGGCTATTGCCACGATTATAAATGATAATTTATGGTATACCTATATCTATATTTTACCAATTTATATATTTTATTATATTATTATATTATTTACTAATATTGTATACTTTTATGTTGTTAATGATGAATAGGTACAAACCATACGATAAATAAAACAGTTTAATATTATGTAAAATATATAGGTACAGTTGCGAAACATATTTATAAAGACCTTTTAGTCGTTTAAGTAATAAAGCATCGCTGGGCTCCGAGCATATTTAAAAAATACTATCAACAGTATCCTCTATCAGAGTCGCGGATTTTAGGGGGCGACGCGATATTACCCCCCCCCCCACCCCTAGAGCTTTTTTTTTTTTTTACTGGAATTATAGCGCCGTATGATAAAATGACTATGAAATTCATAAGTCATAACTATAACTTCAAACTTAATAAATGATACAAAAAAGGTATTTTTTTTTTTTTAATATCTTATCAATTATATTGTTATTTGATTACCAATACAATTTGTCGAATTTAGATAACAATATTATGTTCAAAACAAATTTGAAATTGGTTATAGATAATAAAAGAATATTTTCTTGGTTAAAACCAAAATTGCTGTAGACACTAGACAGCTACGGGCTACTAGCTACGGTTATAGTTTTAGATTATAGATAGAATGACAGATGAAATCATTTCACCGCCGAGCAGTGCTGCAGTTACTGCACCGCCTTATAAATCTGTTAGGGAACGGAAAAAAGTCCCTGATATAAAGTCCCGGAAAAAAAGTCTCAAGAAAAAATAGTCTCGGGGCAAAAAAAGTTCATAAGACTTTAAAATAATTTTAAAAAGTTACAGCGATAACAATTTATACAACTAGGATTTTTAAAATGATGTAATATTTTTTTTTCCTAATCTGTATAAATGTTCCTGACAAGTCATCTAACTTACTAATATTTTAATAATATTATTGACTTAGATTGAACGAGATATTTTTTTTTATAATTTTATAATTATTAGCTATTATTGTTGTTTTATCTGTTTTGTATTTAGTAGTTACCTATTATATGATTACATAATTATTACCTATATATTATCTTTAGAAAACAGACTTTTTACCCCCAAGACTTTTTTTCAGCCGAGACTTTTTTCCTAAAATCAAATCTGTTATCACTTCAATTTAAAAAAGGTGGGTAAGTGGATGTCGCTCTGCTGTACAGGTTGTTACAAGTGGGTCACTGTATAATGGATGGTATTAAATTTGAATTCAATGATACAATATCATTGTATAAGAAAAACGATTCTGAGCGAAGACGGTATGTCAGTCTAGGTTTAAGACAAATTATATACATATCTATGGTATTAAAATAAAATTGACCTATAATAAATTACAAATTAATCATATCACATTATCACAATATCCATTAGGTACTTATAACACGTTATACATGAATATCAATAACAAACCCTGATACTATCATAGATATATAATAGTACACTTAAGAAGTTAGAAGTAGGTACCCACGAATAATATTATATAATAACAACAAAATAACTAGGTTTTTTAATATATAATTTCGTCCAAATTTGAACATAAAATGACTATAAAAATAAACTGTGATTGTATATTTTTTAGATTTTTTGGTAAGAGAATTAACTACTTACGTGGAATCTTGTTTTAAATTTTCAATCCTTAGCTATAAAAACTGAACATTTTATATTTATTAATTACGATGATTAATAATTTTCTAGATTTTGAAAAATTCTGTCAAAATTCGATGTTTAAATGCTTATAAAAAAAAATTGTGCCTATGTATTTTTAATATTTTTCAACTGATATTGTAACAATATATCAGGAGCCTTGTATTAAATTTTTACACTTTTTGGCCCAACAGATAAAACTTTATTGATATTCATAGAAAAAAAAACTAAAAAAATTAAAAAATTAAAATATCCGTAAACAGCTCAAAAAGAGTCAAAATATTTTCAAAATTGTATGGTGTATAGGAAATGCTAATATAAACATTCAGTGAAATTTTCATGTATCTATAGTTATTCGTTTATGAATAACAACAAAATAAGGAAATCGCTACATGAGAAATCTAGTGAACATCCAATGTAGTAAAAATTTGAATTTCAAACGCTCGTAAAAATTTAATTTGACTGTCCGGTAGAGATTTTTTTATTGATAAAGGTAGACAAACTTATGAGTAATCTTGTATTACATTTTCAAATCTTAGATTTAAAAAGAAAAATTTTTACGAATTCTTAACTCAAAATAATTTGCTAATTTTCGTGATTTTTCCATATTTTGTCAATTTTTGAACTTTAAATGCTTATAAAAAAAAACTGTGACTAACGATTTTTAATATTTTTCATCTGCCTTTGAAACAATATACTAGGAGCCTTCTATTAAATTTTCAAGTTTTTTTAACCAACCAATAAAATTTTATTGATATTTCTAGAAAAAAAACTAAAAAAAAATGAAAAATGAAAATGTCCCTAAACAGTTCAAAATAAATCAAAATATTTTGAAAATGTTATCGTCTATAGAAAATGCAAATATAAACGACCAGTGAAAATTTCATGTATCTACGGTCATTTGTTTTAAAGTTACACCAAAAACCAAATTCAATTTTCTGAAAAATCGATTTTGCGTAAAAATTCCTGTTTTTCCTTAATTTTTCTTTTGTTTTTCTTGGCGCTTTTGAAAAGTACTGGGAATTTTAAATTTTGACCGCCCCAATGCACCAACGATATTCACTTTCCAATCGAACAAGATACTGAAGTCGAAAATCGAAGCATTATTTCGACTACTTATCGTGTACACAGACACAAAAATAAAAAAAAAAAAAAATAAAAAAATAAAAAAATAAAAATAAAAACACACATCATTGTAAAACCAATACATTCATCGCTCCGCTCAGAATCTAAAAATAAATTAAATATTTTGTTCACTGTGACTGTGGTAAAAACTCAATTTTAATATTGAGTGCTGAATACTTTATTTTCATTGTTCATTGATAGATTTGCGGCTGGTAAAAAAAGAACCATACAATTGTTGTTCAAATAAATTATTAATACATTTGTTTATTTAATATTGAATAAAAGTCTGTTGAATTTTTATACGGTTTAATTTTTTTTTATATATAACAGATGTTTATTGAGTAATAGGTATATATATAAATTGTATGATACCAATTCACCCCCTCCTTAAATTAGTTTCAGATCCGCTACTGCTCTATCATGGATCTGATTTTAATCCACAAGGCCGGTCTACGATTATTACAAGTAGGTAGGTATATACCAGATTTTTTTCTTTAGTTTAATAATTTAATTTAGTTCAAACAAGTACGAACCCCCTAGAAAAAATTCTGATTGAGCCACTTTACCTACATAGGCAAAGGACAAAGTCACAAAGGTACATATAATTTTTGCAGCCTATTTATCTGCAATAACAAAATATATACTTTTGTTTATTGCTATCATATAAGTATAAATATATATTTCTACAAAAATAAAAACGCAAGATTAAATTAAAGTTCAAAATAATAGTTGGGTACTTTGTATTTATTTTTATATATTTTAATTCAATAAATTACAATTGTTATTGCTGTTGCGCCATCTATAAGCAAAACCACACATAATCCTTAATATTATCACAATATTATACTGTTAAAAAGATTATATTATTACGAAAAATACTACACACTTACTGATAAAGTGATAACAATCATTTACATTTCACAACAAGTAAGTAACTAACTGAAGTCAGTTATGAATTATAATTTATTTTATAGAAACTTAATTTTAAAATTAAATATCTTATAACTAAACAATAAACATTGTATAAATACAATAAATGGGCAATTGGTACCATAAAGTTTAAGCAAAGAATATTTTCGTTATTTCCTTGGTACTTAATTCATATTTTTGTTTCAAAATGAACTTTGATGAGGTTAATGCTCAAGATAAACCGAACTTGGCTACAGAAGAATAGTAAGTTAATTTTTGAAACCTATGACATATCTAATAAATAATCTTATTTACCCTCTAAAAGTTTACTGAATTCATTTTCTAAAACATTTATTTCTTCTTGTAACTTAGTTCTTACATTTTGTCTCTTCAACGAATCAATTAATTCCAATTGTTTTCTGAATCCAGTAATTAGTACATCTTTTTCCCTAACACATTTTGCCAAGATATCGTCGTTCTTAGATAATGCTTTTGTATACTTTTCTTCAGCTTCTTTATGTGCGGCTTCCAACTTTTTTACCGTTTCTTTTAGCTGTTTGTTCTCGTCTGAAGATTTTATGAAAATTGATCTTTGTTTTTCATGTATGATTTGTTCGTGTTTAAATTTTCTCTCTATACATCCTATATCTTTCAGTATTCTGTTCACCTCGGAATCTCTAGTTTTCAATGTTCCAGTTAAATGTTCAACTTCTCTATCGTGTTTTCTTATTTTCTCTTTGAGTAATGATACTTGATGAACATATTTGTCCTTTTCTTCAGTTAATTTTTTATTTTCTTCTTGTAAATGGTCATTTAGATCATCTTTTTTCACTAGTTCATTGTTTAAACGATCAATTTCTTTTTGTAATACATAATTTTTGATAGTTATTTCTTTACTTGAAACAGTCTTAAATTCTTCAATAGTATCACCAGTATCAATAATTTTCATAAATGTATTAAATTCTGAAGATCTAATTGGTTTTGGTTTGTGTTTAACATCTGGTGTACTATGGTTATCATAATCATCTATCTTACTTTTCATTTCATTGATTTCATCCATAAATTTTTTTGTTATTTTGTTATTTTCCTCATACTTCATTTGTAGTACTTCTTCATTTTTTAATATTTCCCCTTTTTCCTTTGGCACGCGAGCCATAATTGCTGTGCTCAATAAATATTAAGGACCCTCCAAAATTCTATTTGCTGTATTATTTATTTTTTATTGAGATTAATTATAAATTATAATATATGATATTATTTCATTTTAAATTCATAAAATAACATTTGAAATGAATGCTAAAATAGTAAAGTAAATACAATTATTTGTTTGTTTACATTTTTCAGTGTCCTAATGATCATGGTTACTATGATATTATCAATAAATTAACAGTGCTACCAAAAATTAATGTTTTCGTATTTCCTAAATCCGAACTCGGTATAAAAAAAACTGTGAATCAACTTCTAAAGTTGTAACTTTATATTTAATATTATAATAAATTGTATAATTTTTAACATATATTGTATATTAATATATTCTTTTAAATTTCAGTTGGAATGATACTTACAATGTAGAATTGGACAATTTCAAAAACTTTGGTGACCCTGGTGCTGAATGGTTTGGCCATGCTATAGGACTCAAGATGATTAAGTAAGACGAGTGGGGCTAAACCATTTTATACAGAAAAATTAAGCAAAAAAAAAAATAATAATTGTTTAATAATAATTGTTTAGAGGTGTTACCTGATTATAATTAAAGATTGCAATGAAGCACCGTCCTTTCCTTAATAACTATTTAAGAATAGTTGAATATATTAAGCACTAATACAATCCGAAGATATTTGTAATGCCAATGTGTAAAGACCCAGAACTAAATTGTTCTTAATCATTGAACTCAAGCTCAAGCTTCATATTAGACTTTAATTGCTTATCGCTTATGTAAAAAATCTAATTGGTAAATTTTGTTTAATTACATTTAGTAAAAATATAAACACTGGTTTAGGTAACTAAAATTGTATAAAAAAACATATAAAATTAATAGTTAGGTTGAAAGGTTACAGTTCACCAAAATTTTAATAATTTACCAACCCAATAATATTTTACATATTAAGCATACAATTAATGTTCATAGGATTTGTTCTTAACTTTGTTCTAACTATAAATATGTCATTGCCAGTATAATTTAGATATAAATTAAAACTTCTTTGAATATTTTTGTAGCCTCTTCACATTTTAACATCATTTGGCAGACCAATCCATCATATTTGTATTTTAAAATTAAATTAAAGAAGGTTGAAAATTATTTGTGGAACACAAATTTTCACTATTAACATATTTTACCATCTTATCTAAATTTTAATTATATTAATTACAATTATTGTTAAAAATTAAAATTAAAATCACAAATTGTTTTCATATTGAATCAGAATGTAACATTACCTATGTTAACCAGAGTTATAAAGAATTTAACATAACAATGTATACATTCTATTTTACTAATAACATCTATAGACTATAATGTGAGAGAGTGATTTCTATGGTCTGTCTTGAATTATCTCTGGAGTAGTTTAAACTTTTTCATGCTACATCAGTTTTGGAAATGTTATCCAGAAACATTAAATTGTTTAAATATCCAGTTCGCAAATAATTTTGGATGAGTATTTTTCACAGCAGTCTAAATTTTTCAGCCCTAAGTCAAACATTCATCAACATTTTAATTTGTAAGTTATTTAGCCTGTAGATTCTAATCTTAATTACTACCATTTTGTTTTCAAAATTTAAATTTATTCAAATTTTACATGTTTAAAGTAATTAACTTAAAACTTAAATTTACATCATAGTGGGATTAGTTGTAATTTTAAACATGTATAAAAAGTTAACATTTATCTTATTTTATAATTATAGATATTATTCTAAATAAGTTACTAAGTTTATTTTGTATGTTCTACATGTAATTCCTCGTGTAATTCCTTATTTGTGTGTATTTGAGGTATCTAAAATCTTAACTATCGGGAATTATAAATGAGTAGAAAAGAAATAAGGTTAAAGATTATTCAAGTTGATTATATAAAAACAAGAGTAAAGAGCTTATCTTTTTTAGATTATATTCATATAGTCATATATATTATATTTTAATTTTTAATTAATACAAAGCATGTTTATAAACTAATTCATTAACTATACCCTATAGTAATAAGTTATTACTAATAACTATGAATTACAACAAATTAATGCTCAACTGTACCTATATTATAAAAGAAAAACTGTTAATATTTTTATAAATTAAAAAAATAAATTATTTATTCAAAATATATTTATATATTTTTTTATAGGTGTATACAATCAAACTGTAAAATTAGTCAAGAAGATTCCGTTTTAGATGTTGGATGTGGAAATGCTTTACTTTTAACTCAATTAGTAATTATATTTTTATTTTGTTTTAAACACGTTTAATAATTACTGTTGTTAAAAAAAAGAACAATTGTAATCAGGCTAAATTAGGATTTTCCAATCTGTACGGCATAGATTATTCAGCTCCTGCAGTAAAATTGGCAAATTCAATAGTTAAAGATCAAAATATAGAAAATATAACACTAAAAGAGTTTGACTTTTTGACTGATGATGTGAAAACATTACCAACGTTTTCATTGGTCTTGGATAAAGGTACTTACGATGTTATTAGTATGGACGATGATAGTAAAGAAAAGAGAAACCGATACAAAGAAAACATAGTCAACTTGTTACAGCCAAACGGAATGTTTTTGATTGTTAGTTGTAATTGGACACAACCAGAATTGAATGCACAATTTGGCGATGGTAAGAAATTACTGGGTAATAATTTTATTTATTAATAAAGAAAAAATTTGATTTTTCCTTTAGTTTTTCAAGTTGTTCACACTATACCGACTCCATCGTACCAGTTTGGAGGAGCTGTTGGTAATACACTGTCAGCCACTCTTTATCAAAAATTATAAAAGAAGAAAAAATGTAATGTTTTATTAGATACTGTTAATTTACTATGTGGTATTCTTTGCAATAAAATCTAAGCTATTTAATTGTGGTTATTTTGCAAGACGGCGGCAACTAAAATTGCTAAACATATGGATACCATTGCTCGTACACCACCTGCAATATAATTTAATACATTTGATTGTATTGACATAACTCATATGAAACTAACTCTGTGTTATTTATTTCCAAACATCCCACTCACCACTGCAAGTCCCATCGTCATCGGCATACTCCTCTCTACACTGACACACCTTGATGTCCGAGTGTGTTTCACTGACATTGTGAGTACAATGGGCCAACTGGATGCATTGGATGTCCTTTTCGCAAATCATTCCCAGCTCTGAAAACCATTATCCATGAGAATTATATAGCTGGTATACTTAAACACAATATTTCAAATTAAACCAACTCTCGTTATTACCTTGTGGGGATGTTATGCAATCGTCATTGATCGGATGCGTTTGATCTGCACACAGACACCGACGTTGACCGTCTACTGGATCCTTGCCGCATGACGTCTTTGGCCATGCCTTGCAGTTGTTGTCGACACGACACTCAGACCGTCGAATGGCGTCTAAAACCAAGCATAAATTATCTACTTACGAATGGTGAATACCTATGATACATTTTCAATACATTTCTAAGGTGAACGGTAGAGATACTATAGGCTTATTTATAGGAACCTATTACAGGGGCACAGAGCACGAATTTAAATGTAAATAAATTATTTTTCATAGTAGGTACAGAGGACCTCTAAATACCGGACACACGGTTGATGACATTTTGGTCGCTATTCAGAGGGTTTGTACTTTGTAGTTGGTTCCCAAGAAAACATCCGCTATTGGGAGGTGTCTGTTAAATGAGGTTTTACTGTATTCTAAAACGTAATTGCTTTTCAAAAACAAAATAATTTCATAAATACTAAAATCTTAGAATCTAAAAATAAAATATTTGTTTTGCGTATTTTGTCTTTTATTTTTAGTGAATAGTTTGAAAATGGTCACATGTTTTATAAGTTAAAAATAGAGATTAAAGAGTACAGGGCCGTCTCTAGGGCAGGGCGAGCGGGGCCCGCGCCATCATAACTGTTGGACACTGGACAGGCCCCGCTTTTATAAATAGGTATAATAAAAAAAGTTAAGTTAATTAGAAAAAATAATTTATCATTTATATTTTATACATTCTATTGTTGTAATTTTTACTATCTATACTTACATATATTAGTTGACGTCAAGTCGTCAAATGAATATATAGAATTTTAAACGAGTTAAAGATTAAAATTCAATTTTCAAAGATGAAAATTATAAAAATAACGATCTTCGAAGCGCTCTGTCCCTAAAAAAGGCACCAACTTAGCTATACTATCTATAAAAAAAAAATTGCTGACCAACTAAAATATAATGACATTATTGACACATTTGCTAATTAAAGTCTTAGGAAGGTTAATTTATAATATATAAGACTCTGAACGGGGCAATAAAACGTATTGATTTTACAATGATGTGTGTTTTTTTTCTGTTTTGTCAGCCACATTTTGGTAAGTAAAAGTGCACCGATTTTCGAGATCAGCATCTTTTCTGGTAGAAAAGTGAAACTAGTTGGTATTTTTGGGAAGTCAAAATTCAAAATTTCAAGTAGGAAGTTTTAGAAAGCGTCAAGAAAAACAAAAAAAGTGGTAATCTTTAAACATTTTTTAAAACAAATAGCTATAGACTTGAGATATTTACCAATTATTTATATGAGCATTTTCCATACATGGCAAAATTTTCATACTATTTTGACTCTTTTTGAGCTTTTTATATCCATAATTTATATTGTAAATTATTTTTCAGTTAGAAATTAATAATAATTTTTTTTTTTGTAGCCAACATAAGAGATTTTAATAGAAGGTTTCCAAAAAGTTGTTGTACCTCTATCAAAAAGAAAAAAGTTTACTAGAAAAACACGCTATTTATTAAACTATTAAACTATTAAATTTGATTATTTATGCGTATGCAAGGGCGCAAGGCTGATACAACGTCTTCGCTCAGAATATGTTTTCATATACCTACAATGATTTATAAATGTAATTCAAATATAACACTTCCAGTACAACGACATGCTACTATACAGCAGGGCAGTACCCACTTGTCCACCTTTTTAGTTTCT